CTAAACCCCTAAACACTAAACACTAAACCCGTAAACCTTAAACCACTAAGCCCCTAAACCCAGGCTACTTCTGACGCTCGAAACCGTCCAAGAGGTGTCTAGCATTCCGGCTCCGTGCTTTGAGAGGTCAGCGCCTAAACCCTAAACCTCTAAACCCTAAACCCTAACCCCTAAACCCTAAGTTCACGTGTGCAAGGCTTGACATCCCGAAAGTAGACGGTTTCGGGCTTTCGGTTTCTGTCGGCCCTTCCTTTGGGTCTAGGGCGTAGGGTTTCGGGGTTGGTGTGTACCGAGAGTTGCCGCCCAAACCCTGAACCCTAAACCCTAAACCCTAAACCCTAAACCCTGACCCTAAACCCTAAACCTAATGATTGATGTTTTAATCCTTGCAGGCTAAGGCCCAGTCTCTCGCGGCTCATAACTTTTACGCCGAGAGGTTGAACAACAAACGGCTCAAGAAAATTACCCTAAACCCTAAACCCTTGCGGGAGCAGCACAGGCTGCAACCGGAGTCGCCATCTTCCAGCCAGAGGCCCATGCTGATAGTTTGTGGTTTGAGGGGTTTGGCGCTTCAGGGCTGCAGGGTTTAGCATTTGGGGTTAAGAGCACTAGAGGACCGGATGATGAACCCTTAACCATAAACCCTAAACCCTAGGCGGAGTCTTGTGACATACCCTAAACCCTAAACCCCTAAACCCTAAACCCTAAACCCAACTTAGGCGCTACAGCACTTTGAGGCTTTGACTTCATAAGTTTTGGCTGTTGCAGGTGCCGAGCCTCCTGTAAAGGGGCCCGTGTAGATCCCTCAAAGGAAGCCTTAAAGGATGTATAAGGGTTCCTTTATAAGGGCTCCTTTAAGGGATCTATAAGGGTTCCCTTAAAAGGGCTCCTTCAAAGGATCTAGAAGGGTTCCCTGATAAGGGCTCCTTTAAAGGATCCATAAGGGTTCTCTCTTATAAAGGCTCCTTTAAGGGATCTATAAGGGTTCCTTTAAAGGGATGACAGGAACGATTACGGGCTAATCCATACCCGACACCCAAAGCCCGAAAGCCGCTAATTTGATCTCTTTGTGAACAGCCAAAACCACGGACTCTCTCCCTGTCATATAGAAGCCAAAATAATTACCTATACTAGTTTTTTATTTGGGGGGGGGGGTTCTTATAATAATTATAGTATAAAAGGGCCCCAAAACCCTATTCCAAGAATTAAGGCCCTTACATTCCAATGAAAGCCCGGAGAGGCCCCGGAGCCTTAGATCCGGATGCTTCAGAGCTTAAGCCACCACTAGTTTACAAAAATCTAAATGCCCTGAAGCCCTAAACCGGCCGAAAACCCACATGCTCAAACACCGTGGTTTAAGGTTTCGGGTCTACGGTTTAGGGTTTAGGGTTTAAAGTTTAAGGTTTAGGGGTTCAGGGTTCAGGGTGAGCCTCTTTGTTTTGGTTGAAGTCGACCGCGTCAATAGCTGGCATCGGGCCTCGACCTTAATGTTCGGAGGGCTTCGAGTGGCTACGCCCGCAATCGTTGACCTCTTTAATTGAGATAGTATAGAAGCTTAAATAATTACCCATACTATTTTGGGAGTTCCTTGTTATAACAGTAGTTTAATATACCCCAAAGCCCTATTTAAATTATTCAGGCTCCTACATGATGGATCTTGTGAGAAGGTTTTGGACTTCGGCGTTCGTTGTTCAGCGGCGATGGGTTAATGCGGCGAGTCTGCTTAAAGCCTATAAACCCAAAGCCTTAAGATCCTGTGCCACGCAGGCACTTCGATGAATCGGGCTTTCAAACGCCCCGTAAAGAGCCAGGCAGCTCATCCAGTGCCTCTGCAGAGATTTTTACGAGGGGTGGGTTTTGCGGATTTGGGGCTTTCCCTTGCGGGCCCAACTCAACATCCCTGAGAGTTTGTGAGGCATAGTTTTATACCTCAACGGGCGCGAAACCCTAGGCTTCCGACATGATGTGAGATTTTGGGCCTAGGGCCGGATGTTTGAAGCGCTGTCCCGCTGGAAATCCCAAAAAGCAATTTGCGAGAGCGCTTCATAGGAAACAGCGATCGGCATCCTCCATGTGCATGATAACGGCTTTGCTGAGGTTGATGATGCTGGTGATGGTTTGAAGGTGTCAGCTGTTGGCACGACGATTAACAGCAGAGCTTGTGATGGCATCATGCTGAATTGCCACGGCACTGTCTTGTGGACACGGTTCCTGTGGCTGCTTTGATCAGTATGCCTCTTCGGGTTGTGCCTCATCACGTTTCGTTGATCATGACGATAACGGGGACGATCAGAAACCTGAGGACACAATGTTTCGAAGCCTGAGCAGCTTGGGGGCTCCGGGCGGTGAGGTCTGTTACTGTTTAGCGAGTTTAGGGCCAAGAGTCAATAGTCCGAAACCTGACCATCCAGAGCCAGTGCCCGATACCGAAATCATCCTGCATCCGCGAAACTGACACGAATATGTATTTCTCAAGGGGTTCTGGGGTTTTTTGTGGGAATGATTGCTATGACACTTACCCGGCTTACCCTTGTCTTCATGGTAGGCTCTACCTTTCCCTTTGAGTTGTGTGAGCCAAAACCTGCAAAAACCAAACCCTCAGCCGGACAAATGACAACTGGAGACACTCGCAATTTGGACATTGGGGAGGCATCGTTCCCCCAGGTAGTGTGGCATTTCGGCCATCTCCAATTTGGGATGACAGCCGGTGGCTCAGGAATGATGAAGCAGAGATGACCAGGAAGAAGATGAAGATGTTGCTGGTGATGTAGATGGTGATTGATGGTAATGACGACGATGATGATGGCGATGAACATGATGACGATGAAGCTGGGTTGGGTGTTAAGGCTGCTGTTGTCGTGCTTATCAGTGTTATTTCGTGCTGTCATGATTGTTACTGTTATTGTTATGATCATCGTGGCTATCATTGTCATCATTATGACTACTATTAGTAGTTTAGTATTGTTTTGTTATCTTCTAATATCGTTGTCGTCGTTGTTGTTGTTGTTGTTGTTGTTGTTGTTGTTGTTGTTGGTGTGGTTGTTATCTTTGTTGTTACTTTTAGTGCCATCATTTTTGCTGTTGATATTGCTATCATTATCACTACTACTACTACTACTACTACTACTACTACTACTAATATTGCTACTGCTACTGCTACTGCTAGTAC